GCAGCGCTAGCGTCCCACATTGCTTTACAATGCAGGAAAACCTCGATCAAGGTACCTGAAGATTTCGAGAAAAAGAGGGCCGCGGTGGAGTCCAGTGAGCGCATGGCGGGGCGAGTATCGTGAGCAGTGCCGATATCCAGGACATTGCCCCTGAAGCAAATTTTGAGGCCGGATAATGTTCGGGTGACCGAGGGGGTACCGGGAGACAGGTACGGCAGTGTGGAATGACAGCTATCGTACAGAGATGGAGTGCCCCATACGGCATGTCTCCAGATATCACTGTGATGGTCAGCTCAGCTTTCACGTGCCTAATCGCGGAGTCGAATGGCGGGGGACTCGTGAGTGTGGGTTGAATGTCATCAGCATACAGAACATACCATGGCGTGACAGAACTCTATGCCACAAATAGATGTTCTTAGTCCCAAGATCACATGCGACAGGACCGCAACACCCTCCATCTGTTTTGTCAACGACATTTGGTCGGAATTCTAGGACCGCCAAACAGATGTAGTCCCCCACGGGGAGCAAAGACTCTTATACAAACTGCTTCGGACGTTATTCTCCCGTATGTGGAGATGTGCAACGAAAGGGAGGCGCCGATCAACCAATGAATGCTATGGTCTCGTGACGGTAGAGCCGACAGCCGTTCTTTTTGCCTAAACAGCCACCTCCTGGAATTCATTTTACTACATGCTTGCGTCGCTCATCGCAAAAAGTTCCCGCTTGTCGGGTGGCATCCTGTTTTGGGTAAAGCTCAGGCCAACCCCAGTGAGGGCCGTTGCGCTGTGAATCTTGTTAGAAAGCAGTGAAATGGATATGACCGTCAAATATGAGATGAGGTGCATGTGCCAGAGAAATCCTCTCCAATCAGTGAAGAATCCACTACTTTTGCAGACAACTGTGGGCAAAGTTTGGTCTCTTGGGCAGGTGAATTGAATGAAGCGGGATGGAGTGTGGAGAAAGAGCCTCTGGGGTAATGCGGACTAGTCACTGCCAAGCGACGCTACGTAATCACGAGATGGTCGCAACCATGGCAAGCCGTCCACTCTTCGATGCAGCCTTTGTACCACCGATATTGCGTCTGTGCGCGGATTTAATACGAATCGGATCTGAACAATCATTGGTCTGAATACTACTCTGCATCTGAGGGTATCTGCTTTCTACGCTATTCTTGGAGAGGACGAGGACAGGAAGATGGTAATAGTCTGATCTTCAAAGGGGGGATGGGGTGAATGCAATATGGAATCCCGAAAACAGGGCTGGTTCAGGATTGCGAGGGCTAAAGACTCAAGCCCATGTACCCACTCAGACTAACATACCACAACCCCTAGTCGCCTCTCTGGCATATCTAGTGCGCAGCGACTCCACGTTAGGCGCCGTTTGAATCTCATTTCAAAGGTTCCGCTCATAAATTGGCCACAAAACATTCATGTCATCTTCGTTATCCAGTCATCGCAATTGAGGTTACTTACTGCATTCGCCTTGAAGAATTCGGGGCATGTTCATTTCCCTGGCGTTGCTAACTCCTTGGGATCAACGACTTCGACATCTGTCGTAATACCAACTTCTTTCTTGAATCGCGACAACCAGACCGGGAAATCTGCAGGAGTCTGGTTCCATTGGTCGTCGCTATCGTACATGATCCAACGCGCCTGGTGTTGTATCTCTTCATCAGATGGTATGTGACAATTCGGGTTCTTGGGCGAAAGCGTGGACGCGGCCCAGCGTCTCATATCGCTGTCGAAGATGCGGTAAAAGTTGGCGTCATCGGGGAGTAGCGTTCGAACTCGGCCGTAACTGTCGGACTGAGCTGTCGGTGAAGGTATAGTGGGATGGCCTTCTGAGAATGCTGACAACGGCTTGAAGAAGTTACAAGCCTCCTGGGATGGATTCGTTGAGTCTAGTACCGATTCCAAAGCATTCGCATGAAGTGGCTGTGCCCACAAAGGGGCGCACCAAGTATCAGTTGGGTGACTTGAGAGCGCACCGGTAGATACATCAAGTATTGCTGCTCGTTGCTTGAAATTCGCGAGCCAATTTGCTGCTGAGTAAATGCCCTTTACAACCCAGTTGGCAAATACGTCCGAGGGTGTAGTCGTCTCTTGTTCCATCTGTCTCACAATCTGGCATGCCTCGTTATGCAGCTGTGCATCATTAGGCACAAGGCCCGCTACTGTTTGATCCACGACGAAACTAATAAGCCGCGCCTCCATAGGGCAATGCTCGAATAGATGACCTTTAGCATTGATTCTTAGCGGGAAATGCCTGCTCTCACGAGCTGAGCGCACAGGTTGGAACCTAGCGCGCTCTGTCAATGCTGGAGATGACATGACAAGATCGCGCAGCCAAGAAACTCTATGTAGTTTTTCAGTTCCCTGTGAGTTCGTACCAGAAGTGGTCTCAGCAGCAAAGATGATGCGACAAGCCTCGAGTTGGATAGCATCGTTATCCGGCAGGTGCCCATTTTCATCAAAGTATCGCTGAATGAAGAACTCTGTCTCAACCTTGAGCAACTCGTAAGCATTGGGCGGCGTTCCCCACGACGGATCGCTTCCTTTCATGGGTATCAATGTGCCTCTTTCCCATTCAATAAGATCTGTTCAACCGTTAGTCGACATCCGACGAAAAGCCGTGGTAAAATGAATGTTTTGTTTTACCTGGGGGCATCGCGGTCTCTAGCAAAGGCTCGATAAAACTATCAAAGCCCCAGTCTCCTTGCCAGCTAGCCATAGTTGTGCCAGACTTAAAGTGATCTGCGAGATGATCGGTTCTTTCTAGCCAAGTCTTCATAGTTATGCCGCAGAATCCGCATCTCGACCGAACGTCAGGTATAGGCAGCATCCAGGAAGCCATTGACCACTCTGAAAACTCGACGGCATGAACTAATCGCAAATGCTGAACTAGGTGATCTTTTCGGTGGAATGTCCTTTCGCGAAGGTTGCGCTCTTGACACGCCGAGTAATGATGAGCTTCAACATGCGCATCGTCTGGTGTGACAGCTCCACAAAAGACACAACACGGTTCGTCAATGCTCTCTTTGGTAGAGCGAGGGCCGTAAAGTCCACATATCCATCTTTCAAGCGGTAGATGAAGTGATTTCTCGTGCCGTTGCCAATCGTACTTGGTCCTAAACACCTCTGTACAGAATGTGCACTGGTAGGGCATGAGCAATGGCGTTGTGACAATCTCTTTCTCCAGCCGACGTCGCCTGCCCCCTCGCTTCTTGCGTGGCGCACGGCGCATTTTGAGTGATGTCTGGGAGCCCGAGGAGCAGTGGCCTGAGAACTCACTCGACTGCGACGTTCTGGTACTACTTGCCGACGATCTTGCATACGGCGATTGCCACGATTGGACGTGGTCAATATCTCCTGTGACATCTTCCCCTGGTTCGAATAAGCACTAGTCACATCAAGCAGCAGCCGCAAAGTGGGCGCTCACATTGAGGAAGAACTCACGAGAGGTAGAAGCCATAGCGCGAGCAATATCACTTGCAGCGGCGGGTTCATGTTCAGGCGGCGACTCTACCCAACGCTGCATCGGATCTTTGTAACCGTGAGAACTTCTTATCGCTGGAGTACCTGGCCTGTGGATTATGTCTATGGGCGATGTGGGCTTTTCACGGGCTTGAGGTGATCCTGGACGCACGCTCTGCACTTTCCCCCTTCTTCGCGCATTTGCAAACCAGTTGGTCAGTTGCGCTTTATTAAGCCCAGTCCTATTTTGCAGAGCAAGCATCTCATTCTCGTTTGGATATGGATGTTGATGATGAACTGCAAGCCAATCTTTCAAAGTTCGTATGACTTCTCTCGAAAAACGACTGCCGAGCTTGGGTCTCAAGACAGAAGTTCCGGGCGTAAAGGGCGACGAGGAGGCAGTTGAGTTGTTTGAAGAAACTCGAAATGTTTGTTCCGTAATGTATTGGTCGTTGAAATAGGACGGTGCAGCGTTCACCGCTCTCAACGCTTCGGACAGGTCAGCGAAGCTGCCATCGTCCAGCATGTGGTCCATTTCGACGTGGCTGTTTTGGTAGCAGAAAAACAAGTCTAGATCACCCGTACAGATTTTGGATTCTTTATCCATGGTAACAGTAGTTCTAGTATAACGGCGGGGTAATGATCGAGGGGAGCATGGCCATTAAGATGTGTCAAAGGCACAGGCTAAGGGAAAGCCTAGAGCTAACTGAAAGAGGGTAGGCGCATGTCAAGTACGCCTTATGGAGAAGCTAGTAGTTGAATAGTCGCCCTACCAACAGATCCTAAAGAAGATGTAAGGATGATCCTTCTCACATCTCACATAAGATAGAGTGTTCGTAGCATGCGACATGTTCGTCTGATCGCTCACTGCAATGGTATTTCGCAAGTGTGACCTCTCCTGACCTTTGTACATGCACATTGGCAGAGCTTTAAAAAAAAATAAAGTCATCCCCAAGATTGCGTTTCATTTTCCAAGTGGCAGAAGAGTATTCTGGTAGTACCTGATTTCGATTCGCATGGATGCCCTGATGTACTATTTTGCTGTTTTTAGCACGTCTGGAATCGTGTTTACGTGTGATGTTGGAATGTTTATTTGCGCATCGCTGACTATACAATTACAAACATGGAATGAACTCGACTGTCTTTTTTCAAAGCATCCAAACTAGAGACGTACATGACTATACGTAACGCGTGGCTCATGTATACCTCGTCATTCCAAATTCGTTATGCGCTACACCCCGACCCTGCTGCCAAAACGCCTAAAGCCAGGAGAATGGCCGTATTATGGTATAAGCCCAGAAAGAACCCAGCAACAACTAACCGAAGGATATAAGAGTAAGAAAAGCGAAATGAAAAGACTTATTTGCTGGGTATTGGTGGTGCGTCGGAAGGAGGTGATTGCATATGATACAATCGGCGGCAGGGAGTTATATCTAGGCAGAAGAGAAAGCAAGGCGTGCTAGCTACGATCGGCTTATCTAGGCATATCAGTATATAACTTGTAGCTCGAACTAGACCTTTTGCTACTCACCGATAGCCAGGGCCACTTCTTCGGCTTCCTCTTCTCTCACGATAGTCCTCGTGTTCTTCGATAACCTCGACTACATTGTCGCCAGGCACTCGATGTCTGTCTTCCACAATGATGCTCCTTGCCCTTACCGGCTGCCGTCTCTCTTCGACAATGATTTGCGATCGGGCGCCGGACGTCCGCGGGCTCCTACTAACTTCGCGCACTTCGGAGCGGCGGCGTGATGACCGACCACCATGTGAGTTGCGCCGTGGTCTGCGCACTACAATCTCCTCCTCTCCCGCCATTGCGGTCGTAGTGCCGGCGGATCGCGAGCTATTGACGAGCGATTGCAACAACCAACATATGAGGAGAAAACCAGCAACACTACCAAGGACAATACCGACAACGGTGCCAGGCTCTGGCCCAGAGAGATCGTAGTAGGTAGGTATTATGCCTTGTTGTGTGTATATCACGTTCTGCCGCTTGGCCAGCGGTACTGCCTTGGGCGCATCGAAAGCGATGGCAGGCGCGTCCACGAGAGGCTGCCGGGGCGTGAGGATGGCGTCATGAGGAGCTATGCTGTCTATTTGCGCCGCGACGGCGTCCAAGTGCTGGCGAAAGGCCGGCATGGTGATAATTGGCAGTGCGAGGCTTGTCGGGTTGCACTCGGGATGTGTTTGGTCGTCTGGGGGAACACGAGTTTGTGTGGGTGTTGTTGACCGGAGAAGCCGGCGTTGGTTGTGGGGGATGCAGATCAGCCAGCGATTGCACGGCGGTAGCAGAGAGTGACAAGGAGAGAGATGCAAATTGGTACAACGTGGGGAATTTGGGTTCGGGGAGAAGATGGAAAAAGAAAACAGGGCTACTCGTGGAGATTTGAGACGGCGCTGGCCTGACCGACTACGACGAAATGATGCAATTCCGCGGTTTCCCATGGATGTATGGTGGTGGCTGGGCCCAATAATAGGGAGGCTGCCCACGCCGACTCAACACCAACACCAATGATAACAGCAACCGCAACCAGCCCGTAGTCGACACAACACCATGCCCCTGCCAATTCCCGCATATTTCTGATCACACCAAGCTGGCATCCCCCTGGCATTTGGTAGCTCTGCAATGGTTAATTGTCTTGTTGGCGCAATGTGATGAGCAATGCAGAGCATCAACAAAAGCTCCGCGGGGTTGCGCGTGCGCCCATAGCACCTGCTCCTTTCGAGCCTCGTACCTGGAACCTTGCCGCCCCCTCCCACCTCCAAACATGCCAATGGCAATTGATTTCAATATCCTTTCCCTACCTCCTCGCTTCTGCTTGGCTGATTTTTTCCGTCTCGACTTGTTCATCCTGCACGTTGACCTGCTACTATTCTGCTTACTGCAACCCGGCCAATGCCGCCGGCGTTGCGCGCCGAAGCCATAGACGACTTGTCGCGGCCTCACGTGATGCGTCCTTCGATCTGCCAGCCCGTCGTGAGAACAATGCTCGCTAACAAGCCAACCATATGGCCGATAGTAATACTCGCGACATGTTATACCTTACCAGCCTCGGCGCTCTCAATGTCGATCCAGTCCCCATCAACCTTGAGCATTTCCCATTCCTTTCACAATGTGACTCGATGACCGCCGCTACAACTACTCGCTCGCCTCTCCAAAGCTGCTAAATAATGACTCTTCTACGATGAGCTTGTTTGAATTTGCGTAATGTCGATAAAATCTCCATTTATACGCATGACATCAAGTGATAAGTGCGGGTATGATGAGTAGTTTCGGGTGCAACAAGTCTTTCGATACCCTGACCGCATGGTAACTAGCTGGGCCGTTCTTCGAACATAGCAGTTTACTTCTTGTCAGCTCAAAAGAGGTCAAGGTGCGTATCCAGATACATGGGTTGCCAAGGTGACAATCCCGAAGAATAGTAAAAGTTGTGCATGACATCCGGCAAGCCATATACCAACGCACGTCAACTTCAGCATGCATGCATCCTCATTCTCGGCTGCTTATAATATGAGTTCCAACTCAGGAGCACGGCACACGTCGGAGAAGCCCATTCAACCTCGTTTCCATCGGTCATGCACCCCGTGTATTCGCCCTTAGTTTCTTCGTTTCATTTACACGTATTGAAAACAACATGATTCTTCCAACCTGTTGTTCCAACCTGTTGTTCCAACCTGTTGTTCCTGATAGTAGAGCTCTACCCCAGGATGGATGAGGAAAGGCACTAACGCGCAACGGCGTGACGTTGTCAGCCACGTCAAACCCAAGCATGGACTGACCGAACGACTGATGCCAGCAGAGGTTCCTGCGAGTTGTAGTCTAGAATTTCGATGAGAACCATCGTGTTCCCTTCTGCGGTAACCGGCCCTTTCCACCGCAAAGCGAGCTTGGAATGCAACGGCGTTGATCACATGCTTCGCACTGCTAGGGCACAAGTAGTGCCATGACCTGAGCTGGTCACCTCACCTAAACACCGACATGCTTTCATATATCACCAGTAGATCAATGACGGCTCAAACTCTTCGATAGTGGCTATTCAGCATGCAAACTTTGCCGTCTCTTGAGGTGCAGGATGGTTGGTGAGCTGGACAAAAGGCGCATCGTGCACCCCACACCGCCAGCGGCTCAAAAGGACCCAGGAACCTCCACCTCTCGCTGTCTCATTGGCCAAATCGCCCCCCCCACTAAGCCCAGCCTAAAGCCCCGCACTAGCCGTAGTTAGCTTCGCGACCCTGGATCCCCAACTTCCTCATCCTTTTCCCCTTCGTGACCTTTCCTATCCCTGTCGCACACGGCTTCTTTTGCTCAGATCTTCCTCGATCGCATAGTCAAAAACCCCTCAGATTGGCATATAGCCTAGTGACCATGCCGCCTGCCGCTGATATTCTCAACGACCCTGATATCGCACAGGCATACGAAGATGTGCGGTCAGACAAATCGGACACGACGTGGCTCATCCTCAAGGTACGTGACGAGCTTGATAGCCCCGATCAGCGGCTGTGTTTGTGTTACTGCTCGTTTGGGAGGAACAGCTGATGCAGAGTACCATCAAACCCCATCTCTAGTCCTTCAATGCTCTGAGAAGCTTGTCACGAGACACCCTCAGCAAGCCCTGCTCCATTTCTTCCGAGACGTGTTTTTTCATTCCAGACGCTAATATGCTACGGCAGTATGCTTCCGCTACTTCAGACAACCTGAAGCTGGCCGCCACAGGCACAGGCGAGATTGCTGAGATGACAGAGAGTCTCGGGGACGACGAGGCTGCGTATGCATATGTGCGAATGAAGCTGGGAAACGACGAGTACAGTGAGCGCGTCAAGTTCGCTTTTGTGGTTTGGCAAGGTATGTGTCTATTGAAAAATTGCGTTTTCCTCCAACTCGATCTTGATCGTCAAATCCTGCTACCCAATCCTCAACTTCGAGACTTTTTACTAGTAAGATGGAAACGTTGATATCATTCGGTGCAATAGGTCCCCATACAAAAGTCATGCGCAAAGCCAAGATGAGTTTCCAGAGTGGACAGGTCAAGCAGGTCATCAGGACGTATGCTGTCGAAATCCAGACGGGTGACAAGAAGGATTTGGATGCCGAAGCTGTGACGCTCAAGTTGAGAAAGGCAATGGGTGCAAACTGTAAGTTTCGAGATTACGTGTCTCCCCTACGCTACTTTAGCGTTGGAGTTGAAAAAAACTGACCATGCCATGTAGATGACCGGCAAACAACAAACTACTAAACGCGACCAATATATGCACCGATGGCACAATTGAATTGTCTTCGCAGCTAACATATCAGCTGTGTGGCGGCTGGTCGAGTTACAGGCTGAATGTCGTCCATTACCAATGATTCTATAGTTGTATACTCTTATTTCTAACCCAAAATCCACATGTAGCGTCATCTATCAATTCGTACGATTCATCAGAGCGAGGGCTTCTTGATATGTGGAAAAACATGTCCCAGCCCACCCCCAGGATCTGAGTTTGTACCCCCGGGACTCGCCACTGGCGCCAGTATCTTTGATTCTGGATCGGTTGGCGGTTGTAGACCAGATTTTTCGCGTTCTTGGTCCGCTGGGTCATCTTCTTTTCTTGCCAGTTTATTATCCACATGGTTCTTGAGCCACTCATGCTGAGCTTTGCTCAGGCTCAAATTGTTGTCAACATCTCTGGTAAGCTTCTCGATTTCGTCCTCCAAGAGCTCGTCTCGGCTCTTTTTCACTTGTTCCGTTGGCACCACCGGGTCGTCAGTGAGTGCCGTTGTAGCCCAAAGCGCTTCTAGCTCATCTAGCCATCCGCACGCTTCAGCCAGCTTCCTCACACCGCTATCGCAGTCTTCTAGTAACAGCACGTCATCTGCCCTCGTACCCAAGTCGCCGACTCGTTCCGAGTTTATGAGCAGCCGTGGTGTTTTGTTTTCACAGAGCTGTGGCAACGATGCGAAAGGGTGGACGGACAGCGATGTGCCCATGACTATGCAAAGGTCGGCCTCTGCAGGGAGATCGCGGTTGTCAAAGAAGGCAGAAGGAAGTTGTTCACCGAAGAAGACAATGTCTGGTTTGACGAGGCCATTGCAGGAGGTGTCGATGCAGTGCGGTACCGACTTGTTCTGGATGGCTTCTTTCATGCGCTCGTCGGGATATGGCTTTTTGCACTCGATGCAGCGTTGCCTAAGACGCATTAGTATGTAACTCTCAATTTGTATGCAAGACGATGTCGTACGTCGCAAAACTGCCATGTGCCTCTATGATTTTGTCACCCGGGACTCCCGCCTCACGCTCGAGACAGTCAATGTTCTGGGTGAAGAGCTTGAGCAGGAGCCCCTTCTGATGCAGCAGATGTATGAATGAGTGTGTTATGGTCGGTCTGAATTTGCCAGGGTATAGTTCTTGTGCGAGGGCGTAGAATGGCTCCGGGTTGTTGCGAAAGAAGCTAATGTCGAAAACGGCTTCGGGGTAGGGCAGGTTCAGGCGCGCGAGGTTTGCGTAGAGTCCTGTGTCGGGCGATCGGAAGTCTGGTATGCCTGCTGAGGTGCTAATGCCTGCTCCTGTCTTTTCTCCATGGGTGAGTGAGCGTCTTCTGGACAAGTCTGCGTCGCGTCGCATCGCGTCGCGTCTAGTCTACACTTACCATGACGACGATTTTCTGGGCATGGCCAGCCTGGATGTACTGCGCAAGAGCGTCTACGGTGCGCGCCTTGAGTGTCTGCGGCGGCGCATCCGGGTCAACGACTCTCGACTCGTCCTGTCCCATCTTGCCGTGTTTGCCTCTGCCTTTGCCTTTGCCTTTGCCTTTGCGACCTTTCTCCCCGTTGCGCCACGGCTTATCCTGCTGCGCCTGCTGGCGGTGGGCCTTGTGTTTTCGTCCTATTTTGAAGACAGCGAAGTGAGGGGCTCTGGTCACTGCTGATGTAGTAGTGGCGTACGACTGACGTGGCGGTGCTACAAAGCAGACTATGTTGCGCAGCATCTAATAATTCTTCCTTGGACACTCTGCCCCGCCAATTATTTTCGGGCGTCCGACCGAGGCGCTGCGTCATGCCAAGATAAGGCCACATGGGCGCACATCTCAAGACTCCCCTTGGCAACGTTATATTCTACTATAGACATTTGCTACGACGTAAATGTAACTCTCTTGCTGATACTTCATTTCAGCAGGTTGAGTCATGGCCTGCCATTTTTTTCCCCAGGAACAAATATCTGATACACTATACGCCAAACATGTACAAACAATTCAAGTCACGACTGTGACAATTTCCAGGACTGGCATTCGTCTTTTTCTTCCTATCCTAGCACGCCGCAAATAATGGCCAGTCATGAGTTTTCATAATCGGAGCTTCGTCTTTGCCAAATGTTCGTTTCGGAACCATTGTGGAACTCATGATTACCGTTTTTAGTCTTTCCATTTGTCCGAAATAGTAGTAAAATATAAATTGATTGTTATGCCATCAGTCTCAATGGGGCTGAAAGATATCCCTAAAGATTTTATCAGAGCTTTGAAACTTTGGAATTCTCTTCTGTTGCATGCGAGAGTAAACTTCCACTATTTCAAGCCCCGGATACCAACTCTGAGATTCGATAGCAGATTTCCCCTGTTCAACCCTCTCCAGATATCCTTGCTTCGAAATCATTCCCATCTATTGGTATGTGACATCTTCTCCTTATAGGCCCGTCGAATACAAAACCACCAGGTGACTATCAAAATGGGCAGGGAGCCCACTACAACACAAGTGTAGTTCATGCTCGCGACCTGAACAGGCATGGAATAAGGAAAACTGAAGAAAATGATGGCAAACGTAAGCCAGCAGAGAGTTACAATGTTAACCACAAAACCTAAGCTTCCCATGTGAAAGACACCCTTGTACATGTTTCGCCTACCGGTCAGCAGATTTGTCAATATGGGAATGTAATAGGCGATATTGTTGACAGTAACTGCAGATCCCAGCATGGCGTTGAAAGCGGTCGAACTGCCGAGGTAAAGACACCCCAGCGCTGCATTTGCGGCTGCCACCAGGAGCTGCGAATTGAATGGTATGCCAAAGCGTGAACTAACGCGTGCCCATGTCGCTGACCAAGGAATGGCCCCATCTCGGGCAAAGGCCCATAGAACTCTGGAAGTGGAAAGTTGAGAGGATATGACACATGGGCCCAGTGCGATGAAGAGTATGAATGTGAGACCGAATGCGCCGCCCGCTGATTGTGTCGCTTGACGGAAGAGCTCTGCTAATGGGAGGCCAGTGTTCGTGGTTGCGAGTGCGCTGTAGTCTTGGACGCTGAACATCAACGCAATCAAGTAGCTAATGCCGGTACAAAATGCAATGATGAGCGTTATCATGATGGCTAATGGCGCGTTACGCGAAGGCTAGTGATATGTTAAGTCTCGCTCACTCAAGCTAATGAAAGGTTGCCATGTGCGCACTTACATTCGGCATTTCTTCAGTGATGTGCGTTACTACGTTTTGTCAATTCGGACTCTAAATAAACATGCGCATAGTTACTCACCGCCATCAAGTCCACCAAGACTGTATAAAGGATTGACCAAGCCGACAGCAAAAGCAATCACGTTGTTTTCCCAGCCCGTGTTGTTTATCCAGGTGCGGAAGACAAACTCGGAGCTCTGGTATGTTGGCGCACATGCTACAACGGTGACAAGGACAACAAGCCACCCGATTTGTAGATAGAACAAGGAGAATTTGTTCAGGCTTGGAATGACCTTGTTACCAAAAAGTACGACTGAAGCGGTCAACAAGTTCAACCCTTGGTAAATGACGAATATTTCCCATGTCTTTACGGTCATGCCCGGGTGGTAAAGGGCGATCAGAGCGCCTAATGTTTGAGCATAGATCAAGTTGGTGGATGCTGTGGTGAAGATCCCTAGAACGGAATCAATCAGACGCATGTAGAGTAGATTATGTGCGGGAACGACTTACAGCCGCAGACCGTGAACCAGCCGGTGAGAAAACTAAGAAAAAGAGCCTGATTTCGAGGCGCAACTGCGGCGATCCAGTGATACACTATAAATCTTGTCAGAACATGTACGAATGTATTATGAGTTAAATTCATGCTTGCGTTGAGCAAAAGTCTCAACAATATTCACTGCGCAACTTACTTCCTCCCTCAGTGGGGTAGCTTGAGACAAACTCCGCGAGCGAAGCACCAAGGAAGCATTGTAAGATCGTGACTAAAACGAATCCATAGATGATTGCACCAGGTCCTCCAGCATTAATTTCGGTAACAATGCCCAAACCAAGTCCTGTCCATGATATGGTCGTCGTGGAGGCAAGTCCTATCAACGATAGTTTTGAGAAATGCCGTTCTAATTCCTGGACGTGGCCTACAGTCTCTCAGCGACCTGTTTTCATGCTCATTTTTCGAGTGAATTTTACCCATCTCGGCCAGCCGCTTCTCGTCGGCAGTCATTGAATGTTCATCGCCTTTTTGTAACGTGGTGGTCGCGACCACGTCCTGCTTCGCCGATTCCACCATCGTATCTCCGCGATATCACTGTGCTTTCCGAAGGCGTTGACTGAGCGAAGGGAATCTGCGCAACATCAAGCAAAGAATCTGAGGCGACTTTTTTTACCATAACTGACCGCTCTTAAACGCTGTTATCACTTATCGGGTTATCATCCGAGGTCTTATCTTTTCCCCTCAGAAACAACCCCATTTCAGCCGTTGGAGCTCTCGTCTGTGGATACTTTTGTGGAACTTCAGGGTTCAAACTTATCGCCCCACAGGTTGGTTGCCTACCTATTCGTCGGTGATCACCGGAACAAGACCTGGCCCGTGGTCTTAAGCCTTTCAGAATGTCTTGTGGGGTTTTCGACTTTTCCTGTTCCTAACTCTGCTCCGGCGGGGTCATGCATCGGTACGCACTCTCGCCGAAAACGCCGATGCAGCCCATCAAGCGCATCTAGTGTACTCCTTCGCATCGTACAGCTCTCACGAGGTCACGTTTAACCTATTTTGGCTACTCATCTTGTGTGTTTTCCCATTCAATCAACCAAGATGCTCAGGGCAGCGTATATCCTTCCCATAATTACGTGCAAGAGTAGCTGCCTCTGAGAACTTACGTAGAGAGTCATTCTTCTAATAATATTCATGCGCAATCTTTTAGAGTCCAACTCCCCGCACTAAGGATCTGGTTATGTCTTCAAGCTGACTTCGCAATGCTCTACTTTTGATCACTTCTTGTCGAACATATTGAACTTCTAGGCTCGAAATTCTGAGTTTGCTATGATTTCATTGATTCAATCCACATGAGTGGTTTTGGTGTGCTTTCATGTTATACTTAGTGTTAAGAAGAGCTTACCTAGTAAGTGTTCGGCGGGGTAGTACGACCACAAGGAGCGCGGGCCCCGTCAATCAGCGAAACCTTTAGTATATGGATGTCAAAAGCAGTCTGTGTTTGAGTTGATTCAACAGTATGTCTGGCCGCGCATCCACCGCTAAATATGCTGGCTGAATATCGATTACCATTGGCATGCAATGCGATGGGCTTCTACGCTTGTCCGTGCCTTATTCTCCTTGATTGCTTCCGTTTATCCCTCCCCCCCACTCATCGTACCAACGAATTAGCATTCCCAGTTCCGTCCAATATGTATCTTACGTTTTTAGGACTAGTACATCCTCCATATATCAAATCATACATCGCCAATCACCAGACGACCTGCCGTGACTGGAGTACTTAATGTCACGTATCTAACTCCTCTATACTGCTTCGTGGTCACAATCGATAAAGAGATGTCCAAGAGGCATACGAATTGCACTCTATAACGAGTCGTTACAAACGGTGCAGATGTTGTAGGTACTTTCCAAGGGGTTTCCAACAGTGATCAAAGAGCCTGCTTTGGATGTGACTAATAACCAAGCGGCTTGTAATGAGATCGCATTGAAAGGAGATAGGATTATGATTCAACATGTAGAGGGTGAGACTTAAAGCAAGCAATCCTATAGTTACTGTTGGGAAGCAGCGCTGAAGGGAGGTGCATTTAGCCCTATATTACTTTGTGAAGCCGTTACTGAAACTGCATACGCCTCTAGTGGAATATAGGATGGAAATCTTACTACAGCTGTTCGAAACCATTACTCACGAACAGAAGCCAGGAGGAAGGTGTTGAATCACTCAAGTAGGCCACTTCGTTTCCCACATTGATCGATGCTGAAAAGGTATAGTGTTCATTGTTCTTGTCCTATCATGATTTTCATGATATCTGGCATCAAAGAGGGGAACTGATGCACGAGAGCTATTCTATTTCGGTGAAAAGCTAACCAGGTACCCTAGTGCAAAATGGAACACCGAGATACCGGTGGCTGACAAATTTCGCAGATCCTGGAGAAGTTCCGTTGTCCGATATTCGCGATATTTGACTGTTATGGTGTGAATGATTACCGATTGTTTCTATGAACCTCCGCCAGTATTTGTACGCAGATGGACGCGATGATGTACGGTACATATGGCTTACACACTAGTCACGAAGGTGATTCATCCCCATCTTCAACGCGACCCTTGTCTAGTGTGCTTTTGGTCAGATTGACTGAAACTATAACTGCGGGAGCATCTCCCGCGAAGATTGAAAAGTATTCCAGCTATTGTGCATCAGTTTCTTTCATCGAATCACCCTCAACTAGCTTTGATACATTCCGCACCGCCAAAAGATGATTTTCAACCAGAAAAAGGTTTTCAATCCTGATGAGCAGATACCTGACCTATTGGGGAAAGTTGTTCTCATTACCGGAGGAAACAATGGCCTAGGGAAAGAAACTGTAACTCAGCTTGCAAAACACAACCCAGCTAGAATCTACCTCGGAGCTCGAAATCAAGAAAAAGCACAGGCCGCCATCGCCGATATCAAGAAAGAGATACCCGAGGCAAACATTATCTTTCTTGAGATAGATCTTTCATCTTTTTCCTCCATAGCTAGAGCTGTGCGAGTGTTTTTGTCAGAGGGGGATCGGCTCGACATCCTTGTCAACAACGCCGGTATCTTTGCGTGCCCACCGGGTCTTACGGAAGATGGCTACGAGATCCAATTCGGCACCAACTATATGGGCCCAGTCCTCCTTACAAGATTGCTTTTGCCCTGTTTGGAGAAAACAGCTGCAGTTTCAGGCAACGACGTGCGCGTTGTCTTTGTGAGTTCAGCGTTGCACACCCTTGCGCCTAAGGAGGGCCTGGTTCTCTCCGAGGTCAAAACTACACTTGAAAAGATCAACACGATGGCTCGCTATGGTCAATCAAAGCTTGCTGAGATGTATTTCGCTCGAAGCCTGGCCAAAATCAACCCTGTGATCACAACAATCGCAGTCCACCCAGGGGTTGTTCGCACAGGCATTATGGACGGCCCAATGTCAAATCCCATCATGAAGTGGTTTTTGCGGCTTGTAGGAAACGCAACATCTGTCGATATCCCAACAGGGACGCTGAATCAATTGTGGGCATGCACGGTACCACGTGAAACAATTACAAACGGTGGGATGTACTACCCAGTTGGCAAAGAATTCAAGGGGAGGAAGGATGCACGAGATGAAGATTTAACTAAGGAATTATGGTCATGGACAGAGTCCGAACTGGGAGGAATAGAGCTATAAAGCGCAAATACATAAAATGATTCATGTGAGGTAAACAGTTGTAGGCACCTAATTTAGTCACCAGTAGACTTTCCAAAAGTCTCTTTTATCACTAGCGCATAGTGGAGGGTGCAATTAACTAGCGCGAAACGTGTTCCGTATATGACGCGCAATAAGAGAGATAAAGTTTTAGGGCAGTGAAGCACCCGGTTGAAGGAAACGATCGGCGCGGGTCGCGCAGGGTCACGTAACTACTCTCACCAAGAGGGAATATCTAATTAACAAATAATGTGCTAGTATATCTTCAGGCTATTAGTCCCTCAATGTAGGTAGACCCTACTGGAATAGTAATATCCTCATGGAATTCATCCAAGCATTCCTCACTCAACACACGATCGAATACGTACATTCTTTTCCCGAACATGGGCAAGCGCACGAGTATTCCTCAGTCAGCCTATAGTACAGAGAGTAACATTTGATGAGCTGAATTTTTATATTTACGCACACACAACGGTTCACCGAGATCATGTTTACATATCTGTCGTTTTCGCAATTCAATTGGAGCAGCGTCCCTTAATAGATCGCCCTTTGGTGGCGCGCCAACAGTAAGTGCCAACGATGCTGCGCAAAAGATTTAGGATGACTTCATGGCTTTAAGCGGAAATGAGGATCAGTAGAGATGATAGTTTTCTTGCGGGGATGAGGATCCACGAAGGAGTGAGCTTCGCAAAACCTAGTAAGACTTCTTGATCATAGTGTTTCAATCTTTCAATATCGAGATCGTGAACAAGGGGGAGAGTGATCATATTCGTCAGCCCGTTGACTATGTCTCTCACCCAATTTCGCGGCTGAAATGACATCATAATCGTATGTACCCGGTCCAATCTCTACTCCCGTCTTGCTCCTTCCGTATCACTCCTCCCTCTTATCATCTCGTTAATTCTGTTCCCAACATGGCTATGGCACCACTCGCGTCGAGTCTTCTCATTCCCCTAAAAAATGACTTTAACATTTAAATAATTCGAAGGGACTTCGATTTTTACTTCAAGGAGAGAGATGACGAGACATAGATATGGTATCGTCTTACTGAATACTCATTAGGACGGTGTGGACGTGCCTGTAAAGTTGAGGGCAAGAGCCGTAATTATGAGCATCTTAAGTAAGCGCGAAACCGTCAGTTTTCCACACATGAAGCGTGCTTATTAATAGCAACAATGGATGTTGTAAGTTTGCAAAGCATACTTAGATCTCACCCCGGATACTTCCACCGGTTATATAATTAGAATGCTGCCAATCGGTGTTTTTTGGGGGACGGGACTCGAATAAACCCTGTTACCATAATAACGCATATGAGTGATTGGTTCAGCAATCTGTCCAGGCCAGATGGATACGATACTGCGAATCGCATTTCCTGTTTCAAGCAGCGCATAAAGTTTTAATATTATACCGATAATGACCCCATACCAAATATTTAGCCAATGGAGGTCCAAGCCACAGTGCACGTCCCTAAACCTGCCATGTTCGCGAATGACTGCAAATTAGCTTAATTGCGAGTTGTCTAGACAGTATCGGCGAGAATGGATCAAAGCACCGCTCCTTGCATCTCGATAAACTCGTTGACTGGACCTTTTGCATTCTATTCAATTTTTGTGTAATATAGCAAGAGGAAAAAACGATGCTTGCATAAGGTTAGATGTGATAAGGCTAGTAGGCGAGTAGACTCGCCGCCCATTTTAGGGTTACGGTCTCACGTCAGAATACCCAAGCTTCCCATCCGTGTATGTGCGTAGTTGTCCAGTTCCGTGCATGTATATATATAAGAGGGAATTCTACTGTCTTTTGTTTTCTACCCAAGAGTTGCCCAGAACCGTTTAAATTCGAACCTTGTCAATCAAAATGAGATTTGTTTCCCTCTCCCTCACGCTTGCGTTCGCAAGCATGGCCCTTGCCGCCCCTACCCAAGTAGTTGACGTAACCAGTGGTACCGAAGTATGAACTCCTAATTTAGACCACATATTCATGTGTGAACTTCCGTCTAACTCTTCTTTTCAAAGGACACTGGCTGCGATACTCCAATAGGGCGTTTGCTATGCGCGTGTCTTGTTGCATGCACACCGTCCAACGCCAGCCCCACACCCGGACCGCCCACGACACCCGACACGTCAGATACAACCTTCGGAACCCTTCAACTTCCGAGTTGCCACGACGTTTGCCGCACAAGTCATTGTGACGAGGACGGAACATGCCGTTAGTCGTTCACAAGCATGCTGCTTTAGATATGTATTACCGACCGACTCAGATCTACGCAGTGCTATACAGAACCATACAAAATGTAGTCTGCTAGCTAGCATATATCTCTTCTTAAGAAAGTTGTTCACACTGGCATTTGTACCCTCCTGTCAATGAGTGATATCTTTGCCTATATATTGTTTGTGTAGCGCTTGTGCATCGAAGTGTACCTGGGAAGCAGTGACCAAACACCTCACGCACAAGCTGCTTATCTAATGATAGTTGTAGACCACATTTTATGGAAAAAGTAGTCACAAGGAATCTTTGGTCGAAAGACTCGTCTTTAAATCAAGTAGTATGAATTGCCTTTGTCATTCCCATCTTGAACAATAATCATCTACCTCGGGACTTGAAGAAATGGTATTCAATTGTCTACTAAAAGATGTGGCGAAGGAAGGTGTAGGAAGGACGAATATGTTTTGAGTGAATAAGCTGCTAAGGTAATAGTCACCATCACCTTCTCTTTGTGTTTAGTATGACCAGTCCGCATAGCTGAAAGACGTTCTTCCCAAACATATCTGAGAACACACGTTCTTCCGAATGGCTGATGATAACGATGAAGATCACACCCAGAAATTGAAGACTCTAAACGTCTTCTATGGTGCCCGTCAAACTACAGAACACCCGGTTCGATTGAGGAGATGTCCAACGCCAAATTTGCTCCAGGAATCCACCATCTATACCAGAAGGTTATATGGACATGTTCAGTTTGTGCTCATATTTCGCGCCCACAGTTCAACAAGGTCAATATGAATCGCATTTGCGACAGCGTATCCTCTTTGCGATATGGTTTTGAGTAATTGGAGGATAAGATCTTGGTCTTTTTTGTAAGAGACACGCGCTCCTGCGATCCGAAGTGGGATGAAGAGCAAAAGGCCAGCAAGACCATGATCAAGCAATTCCTGACCCAGCCGAAGGATCTCATTCATGTGCATCTCGATGCTCGATCTGTTCAGTATTGGAGCCGGCGGGGAGCCAGGCTGGTTCCAATGCCTGTGGTAGTCGTAAGATCCTGAGAGATAAATGCTCATGGCGTGATAGTATGTTCTTGCTACGACAAGATCAGCATCCACCTCGGAAGTATCTTTTCCCCATGCTTCCGCACATATCCACCATTGCTGCAACCCTTGCTGCAACTCAATACCCTCATCAGCAAGCATTTGAGCCTGTGGGCGATGCAAGTTGGACTGTAGGTATGTTTCTTCAGTTTGGGCAAAGCGAAGGGTGCGCAGGCTCAAGTCACAGAAATGCGGCAGCATATCGAACAGTGCCTCTTTGGGATGCCACAGCCTTTGGCCTTCTTCGCAACTCCACCATTGCGATAGCGCATTAGCCCACTCAGGCTCACTCAGAAAAGTAGGCTGCGAATATATCAAAGCCCGGGCAATCTCGAAGATGCGAGTCGTGAAAAAGAAATTGCGCCTATGGCTAGCATCTGCATTTGTCAGCAGCAGATATGCTGGGTGCTGCAAACGGAGGATGGCACACGTGCCATTCAGGAAGTGTGAAAGCCAGTCCGTGCCACTGCTGTCCCGCATCAACTGTCTGGAGTTAGTATGATGGCAATTCTATCTTGGCGTTCGCCTCGACGCACCTCGAATAAAGCTAGGAAGAATGTTGACCACAATAGAGCAGGGCCCGCGAATGAGTTTGAAGTGATAGCAGTCCTAACATGTTTCACAGCCTGACTAAATGAGTTCAGAGCTTGAACTTGGTCCTTCCTCACCCCTGTTGTGTTAAGCAACAATCTTTCCTGTTGAAAACGATGAAGTGAAGCAATAGCAGAGACTGCACTGCTCAACGCAGGCGATTGATGCAAAAAAAGCTGTAATTCGCTTTGCCATGACGCGTTGTTTTTAGTGAGGACGTTCATGGGTAAGAAAGAGTGGAAGAAGTAGGCCAGATCGCGATCGAGGTCCATCATTGGCTGAGCCTTACTACTAAGGCTCTGTTCAACAAAGACGACGGCCACTGGACGACGTGTGGAAAACACACATGACTGCTTTGTTCGCTTGCAATAGTCACAAGGAGCACCACCGCAGCACTCATTTCACGTCAGCACGGGAAGTTGGCGACACGAGTTGACTCACCTTGATCTTCCGCTTGGCACATGCTTCACATCTCGACTTTCGCGCCCGGCGGCCATCAAAAGGCCCTACACTAGACCCCATCTGCGCCCGATGCTCAGATTGCCCTGATAGCGGAAAGAAAGAATGTTCTTTTCCTAATTGCCAAGACCAAAGATCAGCCTTTTTCGAATATGGGAATGAAAGAGCGCACTTGCGGCGTCGATTCGTTTTGACTCTGCCTGGAGAGGCGCAGCCAACGAGGCTCCGCACGCGCGCCTTCCCCGATTAGGGAATATTAGAGCGCTCTCCATATTCGCCTAACCTTCCCGACGCGGATCTCGACTAACCAATCTTCAGCTTGAGAGGACCAGACTATCATCATTTTGTCGGACACGAGTAATGTTGAGGCATGGACGTTTTCCATACAGCAGCGTTCTCTATCAGCTTGTCTCCAAATGGAAATGAAAGAGCGCTGCTACGTGTCAGTGGCATTTACTGAATGTGCATGGAGTTGTTTCTATAAAGCGACCATTCTTTGCAAGAAGCAGTTTCATGCAACCAAGTTCATCTTGGAATTTACTTGTGAGATCCCTTTGAGCTATTCACCATGTACACTTCCCCCGCAACGATCTTAGCCTACGTGGCAATGCTTCCTCTACTTTCTGCGGCAAAAATAATCATCGGACATGTCGGCCGGGACAACATTACAGTTGGGAGCGCATCCATGCTCTTGACGGACACGAATCGCCGGGATCCTTATATCGACGATGGACGAAGCCGCTCCATCATGGTTTCAAGCTTTTATCCTGTCCTGGATTGTACGAACAAAACAACCAAACCTTATATGCCGCCTCAGACAGCTGCTTTCATGGATAAGAAATTCTCAGTCTACGGCCTCCCCAACGGAACATTCCCGTCTTTCGAATTCGAAGCATGCGATATGTCAACAGCCCAAGATCCATGTGCTACACCAGCTCTCCCACTCGTGCTCTTCTCTACTGCACTAGGTACCAGCAGGTATCTGTATAGCATTATGCTGCAGAGCATCGCATCTTCAGGATATCTAGTTGTTTCTATCGACCACCCATACGATGCCGATATCGTCGAGTATCCTAATGGAACTATCATAACTGGTGTTGATATTCCTGACGACAAGGTCAATCAGACAGTCGTCACCCGTGCAGATGACATATCGTTTGTCCTCAACAGCCTACGCAAAAGCCATGTTTCTAAGAAACTGTTCCCAGTCCATACAATACTTCAAAAATTCCCTCAGATGACTGTCCTGGGTCATTCTCTCGGAGGCGCGGCTGCAGGAGCAGCGGTACTGCAAATCCCTTCTGCGCGTGGCGGCATCAATCTTGATGGAACCATGTTTGGTCCAGTCCTCGATAGGGGCCTTGATAGGCCCTTCATGCTAATCGGTCATGCCAACAAGACGCAAGAAACAGACCCCTCCTGGAAGACAATGTGGCCAAAACTGCGAAGCTGGAAGAAGGAAATTGAGGTCCGCCAATCGGCGCACTATTCATTCTCTGACCTTCCGACACTTATGACCGCGTTGGGACTTGGAAGCGCGCAGGTGCCGGCCATAGGTGATCTGCTAGGTACGATTGAAGGGAAACGGATGATGCAGCTTACAGTTGCTCATGTCGTTGCTTTTCTGGATTTCACCCTCAAGTCTCGCGGACAGAGAGGATTTGCCGAGGTGGCTAGGCGATTCCCAGAGGCTGTAACTATCACCTGAACGCTCTGTTTCTCCACCAACATGTGACTACATCGTCTTTGTTGTCGAAATTTTCGCCTGCTGTTAGAACTTTTGTCAAAGTATGCTTCTTTACCGTAGATCTTCACGCAACAAATAGCGTAACTATGTAATAAAACTGATCGAGCTTAGTAAAGTTGTAAAATTCCTCCATTTTTGCACCTGGATATATTTGGCGCTGCGGACAACCATCGCAAGACAACCTATGCAAAAAGTCCCGACTTGACTGCTTACTATGTGTACAACTTATGAGCAGCTTAAACGCTTTATGGATTATTTGGTTAGTACTTTAGATATTTATCTCATGCGAAATCAAAACTGACGTGGCCATGGTGGCCTTTGACCTCTGAGTGATCTTTGGCGCACTTCAAGCATAAGTGAAAACGGCACGAAGCTGACATGAAATCAATCACGCTGGGAAACAACAAAGAATGGAAAGGCCTCGGAGCGCATCGCATGGTAGAATAGCTTCAAAGGGCAAAATTGTTGGACAAGAAAGAAAATCTGGCAATGTCTCACTATCGTGCACCACTCATGGACGTTTAGGCACGTGAGTAATCTTAGTCAAGCCTTTTCTGAAGAAAATATGATATCTAGATAATGTGTTTGGTACGACCTATCTCCAAACTCATCTATGGAATTCCAGCATCTATTAGAAGAATGAGTTAGATAAAGTTACGCATAAGGAGACAACTTTCTTACCTATCATACGCAACCCACCCTCACTAACTAGAGGCTTGAGGGGTATGTTCACATCCTGTGGTAATAGGTTGGCAGACATCGTTTCGGGTTCCACACGGAACAGCTGTTTAGATCGTTAGCAATACACTTACTCAAGTTTTAGGAAAGATACAGTACCCTCGCAATGATTACTACAGCATTGATTGTTTACAGGATCACATGGGCCTATATTGTTTACTGAATAAAGAGACCTCGAAAATTTTAAGTACTTACGTCCATTGATAATACATTGGCGCTCCTGAAGCTCGGGTGGGATAGCTATAGCCGCCACAACACCAATGACGGTAGTGATGATAGTAATGCACTGCTGGTGTATGTTAACCTCTCACACTTAGGCTCTGATAAACAGGAGGATATCGGATGTGAATATGTAGAGATGGGTTGCTTTATTTCAAGTAGTGTCAGCGAAGCAGGTATTTATATTCTGCATCAACAGCCAAGATCTTACGTCTCGTCCAACACACCCTGTCGTCCCTTAATCATTGTATCTACTACCACGATCAAAGATTATCAAATGATTAGAATAAGTTTCTTCCGAAACCGAGTAAGCGCTATCTAGCTGTATTGAAGTTCCATGGTGAATTAAAAAACCCCGTCGAGCTGCATTTTTCCGTTTGTCGCCTGAGTGTATAAGCCCTAGCTGCAGGACATGTGGCAGTTCCCATAACGGCCTCCGATATCTGAGCAATTGCATACTGCACTATTGATTACAAGTTTCGTACTATGGAGATAAAATAATCATGATTAGACTCTTTTTCACATCACTTACACATTATTACCGAAAAATACCACGCTATTCTTAGCAACCACAACTATATATAGTATAGCTCGTACTCTCTACACCGGCCTGGATCCATGTACGTCAATTCTGCCATATAGCATAGTGAATGGGAGACCCAGCAAAAACCTCGATTGAAGTTACGATTCGCAATCACTAGGAACGAACTATGTTAATACGAGCCGTGGTGACCTGTACCTCTATGAGTCTGGAACGCTTACTTCCACAACGGGGGCGCGGGCTTTACTAGATCCGTCCGAGCTAGGCTTTATCCAGGAGTGCAAGTACCCGAGCCAAGTTGAAGCGTTGCTCAACGTACCAATCAGTCAACTCGAGTTGATAGACAACAAGGCATGATGCATACTGCTCCTACCACTACTACTAAGCATCGTGCGTTTCGGCAGTACTCTCTGATCAGTGTATTTTGGCGGTCGTATTGTCGTTTCGCAGAATCTTAACGGCTTTGATTCTATGTAAACTCGTCAAAGCTAGAACAAGGAAAGAGATTGAGGTCGGGACCTTATGGAAGGTCAGGAAGAGCAAAATGTATCAACGAAACGCTATTGTAGTATGCGCAATCAACTAGAGAGTCGATGCTTTGTGAACATCTTTCATGGTGCCTAGATACATCTACCGATTGCTGACCATTCGGAACCGCCGGGTCGTAACTGTGCCACTGGTACTAAAACTCATTCCCTTCGGCTCTGTATTCCCTATGGATGGTCACTCCCCTATGCCACGATCGCTCGGCATTCAAGACCATGACACCTATGAGCACTAGCTGGAAGTATTGAAATGTTAATGATGGCGCTTCTTTTCGTTGTCGTTACTTGAATTGCTGTTGAGGCATAAAATGTAGGAGCTCTCTCTCGACCCTTTCGGATACAGAATAGATACGTAAGCAAAGAGAGTATTATCAGACAAACTTTCTAGGATTTGAAACGGATGGCTCGCGGAACTTAAGCCAGACTTCCTCTGAGGCTTACCAGTGCATCTTAGACTAAGACTTATACGACAATTACCAATTTGTCAAAGCTTAGTCGTTTCAACCAGTGCATCGGAATCACAGCTAACGAACACTCTTGATATCCAATAGTTCCTCTATGCCAAATAAGTACATATATGGAGAAAAATACACACCGTGTACCAATGGACTTAAAATTCATCAGCGTCGCGCGGATCATGCTCCTCCCAGTATTTTTCGTAGGCCTCCCATGTCTGACTTGGAAACGCAAGCGGTACTGTGATGGGCGCGAAAGGAATCTTGGCTTTGTCGAACTCTTCAAGACGGGCCTTGGTCAACGGCCTAGACTTGTTGACGCTATACACGGAAATGCGATGGCATGAGCTAGTGACATGCAAGCCCCAGTTCCACGCCGTTCGGACGTCAGGAGGCTGTGTGTTCAGTGCGTTGTCCCAGCATCGACATACAATCTCAACCCAGCCTTCAACGTCACACGGTAGGTCGAACTCGTAGGTACGCCAGGTCCACTTGCGCTTCTTTGACATGTTTTCGACAGGGACTGTGTACCAGTTAAACCCGCCGTCTGCCGAAAGCTCAACGCGTTCTGGCCATCGACCGCCGCCAGAGTAGGCCCAACCCTTGCATCGTATCTTGCCGTTGTGAATGACTACCTGCTTTGTCCATGGCGACATTATTGCTGAGCTGACTGGCATTTCTTGAATCTGAATCCCGTCTGTCATTCTCAGATTATGCTTGCCCACTTGCTGAGGAAAATAGAGATACTCTTTGCTTTGCACAGGCGCCCGTGATGGCTTTTCGATGGCTTTAATCCGATACACCCACTTGACACTTCTTGCACCAATGTAGCCCAAGACAACAAGTCGGAGAGGATAGCCATGAATACGAGGGAGTGGCTCTCCATTCATCTCCCATGCCAAGAGGACTTCGTTTGCCTTGACCTTAGACCAAGGGACGCTGACCAGATAATTCATGACTTGGTCATCTTTGAAGTAGGTATCGGCGCCATAGAACTCAAGGTGTTTTCCACCGTCGATTAAACCGCCACATGCCTTGATGACCTTTTTGAGGCTGATGCCCACGTAGCTAGCGGTACTGATCGCACCTTCCGCCCAAGGCGCCTGTGGAACTTCGTCGCCTTGACCAGGATACTTCAGAATCTGCTCAATACGTCTCGTGCCGGAGCATTGTATCGTCACAACTTTCTCGATGCGAGGAAATTTGGTCTCATCCATGAGCTCATCTAGAGTGAACGAACGTGGTGTCTTGACAAGGCCGTCGATCATGAAGCTATAGTCGGCTTTGTCGATAATCGGGATCCCGCCGTGGTTTCTGACAAAATGCAGTGAGTTTGGTGTAATCTCTTTAGCAGTAACGAGGCGTTTAGGTGGTTCTCCATTATATGGGAATTGTAACAAGTGAAGCATGTCAGGATGCTTCTCTTTCATAACAATATTCCAGGAGTCGTCTGGGATTTGAGTGAGTTCGCCACCGACAGCATGATGCCACATCTTCCAGTGAGTTCCAGGAAGGACAGGGTTCGTTCCCGGAATAGGGCCTAGCTGATATTCTGGATTTGGTGGGAATGTTTGCGCAGTCAAGATCTTATGTGCCGCCAGCTTCTTGTCAGGATGGTCTTCCCACTCTACAAACCTACAAACGGCTTTAACAAATCGCTTGAATCAAAGCCCTAACTTTTACCACTTACCCTACCCAGCCCTTCCTTTCGCGAGCAAATAGCTTCTCACAATCACCAACGGCCTTGATAGCTTCTTCATCCTTGGTCAGCTCACCAAATACTTGGGGAGGTATTTGGAACGTCTCGGGGCCAGTCATGTCAAGAACAGGGAGGCTCGCTCCGGCCAATCCCTGCTCAATCTTCCACTCATCCGGGCGATTGGTGATTCCCTCTTGTGTCTTTGTTTCTGCCATTGTTTCTTCAAATGCAATTCTAAGCGATATTAGTGAAAGGAAATGATTATTCACAGAAGCAATGGAAAAAGATGGCAGGCATGATGTATTTACGTTCTTCCCCTCTGCTGTCAATAGACCGAGCAACGCCGACGACGTCATTTGTCTGTGCCTACGGACCATTGGCAAGATCCGGGACCCATTGGGTACGGTTGTTAGGTTTTATTGGCTGCTGCTGGTTTCATGCATGGACTTTCCATGAAAGAAGCTTGATTTGTTACTTTTAGTAATCCTCTAGTTCGAACGCTCAATTGGTCAAGGTGGGGTAAAAAGACACCCTCGCATTAACAAAAGCCGCATTAAGAAAAGCAAAGTAAGCTTAACTTATTAATGACCCCGAATTGCACTGATCTTGGATTCGAATTTGTGTGGAGAGTGAACACTTTCTACAACAATATATTACTGAATGAGTAATGCACTAAAGAAATACAGTAGAGCGCTGAGTTTTCACCGAGTTTTTCAGAGTTATGTTTGATTTCCTTTCAAAGTTCTATACACTGCTTTGCTTCT